GCTCTATGTTTCTGTCTTCATTTTTACTCACAGAGTCTCGGGGGGAAGTGGCAGCGTTCTGTCATCTAGGGAGTTTTCCTCTTTGTTTCTGTTTCTGACTCTTTCACACAGGCCCACACACACACACACACACACACGTACATAGACACACATAAACGCAGCTGTATCTGACCACATGCACAGTTATAACACAACAGGATGTTGTAGGGTGGATGTTTGAGGTGTGAAGGTTCACACAAGCCGTGACAAACAATATCTGCTTCTGAGAACTAATTATTTATTATTCATGCGTCTTAATAGATGCTGATGTTCTTAATTTCTCTCTCTCTCTCTTTTTTTTTTTGGCCTCCTTAGTGCAGCACACGAGCCAGGATTTTAACCAGAAATTGACTGACTTACTGCAAGACGTCAACCACTCTCAGTCCACAACATGATTCACTTTGTCCATTTCATTCTGTGCAGATATACGTAGTGACAAGACAATAAGAAAGCAGGAGGACACACAGAAGGACAATCATTATCTTCCTTGCTGCCGTGTGTTTACAACCAACGCAGAGATTCGTCAGATTGGTGCTGTCAGTCCTGGGTTGCATTGTTAGATGCCAGAACTGTCAGTCTGAATAAATATTAGGACAGAATTTCTTTCTTTTCTTTTCTTTTTTTTCCCCCCCCGTTCACCACTGTCTTCCTCCAGCATCTGAAGCATCAGCATACACCAGGGCTTGTGGAGGACTTCAAGATGAGCCCACTTGATAGCTCGGCTCATACAGAGCCAACATTATGATAATGTCCTTATAAGTAGCAGGGGGATGGGCGCAGTGTCATCTCTTCACATAGACAGAGCCAGCAGGGAGTCCACAGTCAACTGCATTTAGGGCGTCTTTGTTGTTGTCTTAGCTCCCATCTGCGTTGTTGTTTTGTTCCGGTCCGCATCTCCTCTCAGACATCATTATCGCTCTCATTAGAAGTATCTCTATCTCAGTCCCAAATGGAGAACAAAGTCTTGCAATATCTCTTTCTCTGCCTTTGTTTGTGTGTGTGTGTGTGTGTGTGTGTGTGTGTGTGTGTCTAGCATTGTACATCTAAGTTTGGCTGCATGTGCAAACTACATGTGGCCACTCGAGTCTCTCAGAGAGCCTGTACACTGTGTGCTCTGCTTTAATGAATTCCTGCCTATATATAGCCTATATATTCTATTGTTTGTCTTGTGTCTTTTTACAGCCTTATTAAACTTATAGGTTACAGCAGGGGAATGCAAAAGCACTTAAAGGTTACAAGAAGAGGATATGTGAAAAGCACCCCAGGACCGATTCAAAACCACGATGCCAAGAGTACATTAAACACGTCTTACACAACACAGGGCATCGGGGGTGTTGGAGCTCGTCATGTTTGGAAGGTAAATGAAGGAGAAGAAAAGGCCATTCTGACGCGTCTGTGTGTATCAGGAGCTGGAGATGGCCTCATTGGTGTGTTATCCAAGAAGTCATTTACTTCATTAACCCAGCCAGATCACCGAGGCCTCAGTAATCAACCTTGTCACACGTCCCATTAACTTCTCATTCTATCAGCGTGGCCCTCGCACCTTCTAACACACTCACACACACACATGTACACAGATGCACTTTTGTTATGCACGTTCCTATCTGCAAACACATAAGTGCAACCACAGTTGTGTTTCCTCACACGTACTCGCTGCCTCGAAGACCTCCTCTCCTGCACGCGCACACACTCGCTTCCTCGTCTCTCGTGCTAACCCCATTACCTCTGTCAGTCCCAGGGGTCTCTCAGCTCTGATGAACCCTCCGCTGCCCTGCGAGATTAGTGGACTCCCTGAGAAAAGCCCTCCATTGATTGATAGTGAGTCTCTCCTGCGCACAATGTCAGCTCAAGGTTAGCACGTCGACTCGCTTTCCCTCGGCGCAGTCAAGTGCTGGAGCTTTGTTATGAATATCACCGTGTTATTATTTTATCTCTGCTGACTCTGCTGCTTATATTATTCATAAAGATGGCAAACCAATTATTGACATTCACCTTCAGAGTCTTCTTCGCTTTCCCTCCTCAATCTTTCTCTCTAGTGGTCCAACTTTAAACATTTGCCAAAGCATTTATTAATTGTTAACTCTCTTTTTTTTTTAAATTTACCCCTCCTTCTTCACTTCTTCATCTCAATCTCTCAGTCTGCCCATTGATCAAACCACAAAGGAACTGTTGATACATAAAAGCTTTTGCATTCGGTAAAGTGATTCGAATGTTTGAAATCACTCTCATGCATGGCGCATCAGACACAGGGAAGCATTTACTTTGCATCCCACTTGAGGGAATGAAGATCTTAACCACAAAAAGAGAGAGAGAGAGAGAGAGATGAAGGAATGGGGGCAGCTCTCAGTCTGTAATAGAGAGTTACATAAATGACTGGATCGGTAAGACAGATTGATCTTTTTATGCTGAAGTTGATGAACATGAATGATGCACCAGATTTCCTGTAGCGGTGAATAGAGATGAAAGGATTATCCAGATATTTAGATCATTCAGGCAGGAACGTTGCCCTGCACTGCTGTCTCTTTCCTCCCCATCATAATTCAATATTTACAGTTTAAGCTGGAAAACTGCTCCCTCTTGGCCGCCTGTATCTGGTATCCATGGCAACAGATTTGAGAACAGAGTGCCGTCTTTATGTGTCCGTGTGTGTGTGTGTGTGTGTGTGAGTGTGCGAGTGTAATGTTTACTGATACACTGCAATTGATTGGTTGTTGGGGAGCAGCTGTTGACCCCTCGCTCTCAGGGGTCTCTTTGTGTTCTTGCACACATCCCAAATCAATAGACACACGTGAATGTGAACACACACACACACACACACACACACACACATGCACAATTTTGGCTGTTCTTAACTTATTTTAGAGTCATCTTCTACTTCACCTCTCCAAAAGTGTAAACTGACCCGCAAAATTAGCCCAAATTCAAATGCGGCTTCAACTCGTGCCTGTAAACCTGAGTCTAAATTTAATGAGCACAGCATAACTCCAAATCCATTTTTAACTCCAGCCCTTCAGGCCCTGAAATAACACAGGAGTGCGGGCCAGTATTAATGTTGTCATTGCGAGTTTTTTTTTTTTTTTTTTTCCAACTTACTATCATTGTCAAAGCATTTGTTTCTCATAAAAATAAAAGTAAAAGTGCACACAAATACACACACATGCAGGAATACAATACTGGCCCAATGCCCATACATGGAGAAATGAGCAAATGGGCAGAAATGAGTTGCTGTGGAATTGTTATGAAAACACGCCCAATGAAATCGAGACTCCACACACTTAAAATCACATGCACAAACACACACACACACACACACACATAACACATTTGTGAATCTAGTCAATGTGCCACAGCAGGGGAAGTGCAAAGCAACAGCATCCAGACGGCTGATGGCATTGCAGATTTTTAACTACAAGTTCGAAACTGTGCTGAGTGTTTACATGCTACTGAGCACACAATCAGCACCCTGGCTAATGAAATATCTCCCAGTGGGTGCTCTACACACACACGCACACACACACACACACGCACACACACATGCCAGAGATGAGTAACAGCTAGTAACTGTGGGGCACCAAGAGAGAAAGGTCATCTGGCATCATTTGCATTGCTTGTTAATGTTAAAGAATGTTTTCCATACAAGGAAGGTCAAGTTTTGCATGGAGACACGAATATAAACATAACTTCTGACAAAGATTCATTAATGGAACAACTGTGCGGTGCCTGTTCATGCTTGGTTGATGTGAGTTTTCCACCCCACTGTAATTTTGACATATTAAGGGGACAGCACCAGCCACACACACACCACACACACACACACACACACACACACACACACACACACACACACACACACACACACCACACACACACACCGACTTTTGAATCTGCCTTTATTCATCCACTTAGCCCCACTCACACATCCACCTTGTCTTGCTCTAAAGAAAATGTTTCGGCAAAGTGGGTTGTGGCAACTTTTGTCTCACTGAGCAGACATGTCAAACTGGAATAAATTACGCCGTGCCAGTTGAATAACACCACGGCCAGTCATTCCAGTAGTAGCGGTTTGTGCGTAAAACCATTTCCTATTAAGACAAAGGTGAAAAACTATATTTATTGGTTCTCCCACGGGTTTGCAACATGCATCATGTTCAAAACACCCCCAAGAATACGCATTAGAAAAGCATCTGATAAGGCTTAGTTATGACTGCTCAGAGGAATTTAATGGGTTTGTGTTGTCGATGAGCACATTTTTCCTATACTCTACATCTTTGATTTAATCTGATGAACTGAATTACTATTATTTCTATTCAATTTTATATTATCTGTGGAAATAATGCTGATATTTAAGCTATCTTCGTCCAGTTGAGTGATAAAGCTGTTCATGTGAATATACATCTATTTCATTTTGAGCCTTTTTTTTTTTTGCATATTTTGTTAGGAATTTAATTCTATGTTCTGTCTTTGCCAAGATCATTCCTCTAACAGAATTTTTTTAATTTGATGTTAAGTGAGGCCTCTTGAATTATTCTGCTGGATGTTCAAATGGATTCTGGCACTTTCTGATATTAGACTATTATCCCTTCATGGTGGCTCTGTTGGAGATTGACCCAAACCAGAGTGAGCTTAACATCTGCTGTCTGTTGAATTTTCTATATTTCCAGCAAGTTCAAGCCAAGATCTGCAGACCTATGTACAACCACACGTTATCCAGCTGTGTATTTATGTTAGAATAATTATTTCACACTCTGTTCTGTGTGCAGGCATGTATCCTGAACCTGTTGAGAGAGAGAGGAGGGGGGGAAAGTGTAAAACACCTCTGTGCTTGTTGCAGCGGTGACTCAGTCAAAACAACAAGAATTTTTTTTTTTTTGCCAGATGTTGCTTTCCCTTTTTTTTTTTGCATTACATTAAAATAACACCGTGCATGTACGATCAGTCCCACAGGAGAGAAGCTCTGGGAATTAAAGAGGAGGAGGGAGTATTTTTTTTATTTTTTTTTTTATGGGGAGAAGGAGCAGCGTTGCGCTCGTTTGCTGCCAGGGGGAGGCGATGTCGCTCCTCCTCTCTCCTCTTGCTCGGCTGCGCTCCGCTCGGCCAGAGAGCTCTCAGTCTGCTGGGTGAGATCATTACCAGACACCAAGCTCCGGGACCTGACATTCACCGATCGGAAAAGCAGCGAGGAGAGAGAGAGAAGCACTGAGAGAGGCAAAGAGAGGAAGAAAAAAAAAAACCTTGATCCAGTGCAACCGGCGACGGAACAAGCGAACCTGAAGCGGCGTCTCCAGCCTCATGCTCCGGACTGACGGCTGAAAGCGCGGTCTTGTGGCTGAAATTTTCGTCGCTCTCCCCCCCTCCTCCTCCTCCTCCTCCTCCCTTCCAGCTTGGATTTGGGCTTGTAGTCGGATGCGGGCTTGTTTTGACTGCAGTAATAGTCCTACTCCCCCTCCTCCTCCTCCCTCTCCTCCTCCTCCTCCCCCTCTCCTCCTCCCCTACCAGCCGAGTAGCGGATTTGCGAGGGATCTCAGCGCCGCGCAGCTCCCCGAGTGACCAACGATCCCGCAAAAAAAAAAAAAAAAAACAGGCACCGGAGACGCACCGCTCTGCACCGCCGCGGCTTCTACCACGACACGAGTCAATCCACCCCGGAGCTTCTCCAAAAAAGATCTGCGAGGATTTGGACACACAAGCGCCAAGTTTCCGATTTGGATTTTTTTTTTCCTTTTTCTTTCCTCACCCCCCTCTTCTCGTTCGGCTACCTTGATTCTGTCATCAGATCGGCTGCAAATCCTATTTTCTCCTCTTTTTTTTTCTCCCTCTCTCTCTCTCTCTCTCTCTCTCTCTCTCTTTCCAAAGCACCGTTGACGCCATTTTCCTCGGGGTTTTCTGTCAAAAAATATATATACATATATTCCGGCACCGTTTGACAGCTCCCCAGGAGGCTGTCATCCCATCCGTCGCTTGCGTAAAATGTGTCCAAATGGATTGTAAATGATCTTGATAAAATATTTACGCGTTCGAGCCAAGTGTGTGACAACATTAGACATGGGTAAGTAGCCCCGGTTGACTGGCCACATTCCACACCTGAATACACACCTCTGCTGTAAATGTTTTCATGTCTGTGTTAATGCTGTAAACCTGCCCTTTTCTTCTTCTTCTTCCTCTTCTTCTTCTTCGTGTGCGCTATTTCCACCTTGTATGCATGTTTCCTGTTTCGATTGGGATCCCTTTACGTTGAAAGTGTGCGAAATTGCTCGTAGTCACATGCCAGCAAAAAAAAAAAAAAAAAAATCGACCAAAAACACACACATATGCACGCACGCACATAGCTACTCCACGCACCACTACGCGCGCAATCACGCACACACACACACACAAACAACACTGGTGCCACTCCAGCTTCCATCCATTTACTATTGTGCAGCGCCTTGGGTAATTAGGTGGCTTTAGGATAAAACAGCTAATTAGGCCAATGGGATGAAGTGTCCACTACACTGATCAAGGAGCAGCTCAGCCACTGCTGTTCACACTCGGAGTTCACATGTTGTTCTGCTCGACTGGACCGCCTGCATCTCCGCTGACATTGATAGTCCATCACATAGCATCACAGGCTGTGACATGCAGCCAGCAGATGGTTGTCACTCTCTCAGTCTGTCATGAGTTGTGTCACATGTAGCTGTGTATTTTTATGGAAAAAAATGTTGTCGGTTCAGTGGTTTTCCAGCTTGTTCTGGTGGAAGCGAATGTCACATGTGCAATGATAACATGTTGGAAGTGCAATGCTCCCGAGTGTGTCTTCTTTCTCAGCCTTGCCTCGGTTTATTTATCTACAGACCTCAATATCAGCGCCGGGCGCCAGCATGTGCAAATGTGTCTTCAACATTGCATGTACTTTGGTCCGGTGAAAGCCAGCGCTGCTCCACTCTGGTTATCAATAGCAGAATCAGTTTCACGTGGGTTCCAGAAACAGCCAAAAGAGAGTGGCTTCGCTGTGGTTTGATGTGGAGGAAGGTGAGGGCTGAAAGTCAGTGGTCGCATGTCTGTCAGACGTGTTAGGAAACATCATGTAAGATCGGAGCACCAGGAGATAAATAGTTGAGCCTGACAGAGTCGAGGAAAGCGTGGATGTATGTTCGGGTCTCTTGGATGTATGGGAATGAAGTTGTGGAAATGGAGAAACCAAAAAAAAAAAAGGAGAACAAGGGCATGAGAAGAGGGGCAACTGTAATAGAAGTGCGTGACTAGGTGGAGAGAAATGAGGTTGAGGGATGGATAATAGAGGTGATTCAGTCTCAGATGGAACCATCGATCTTGTCTTGTTAACAGTTTCAACTCCCCTGAACCTGGCAGCGTTTTTTTTTTTGTGGCGTAAAAGTACGAAGCGGGCTATTATGCTCCCTGTTGGGTAACGAGATGCCCATGCCACCTTTAAATTAAAGCATGAGAAATCGATTAGGTGTATCCCCTTCTGGGCTGGATACCTCGGGTCGAAATAGGATCACAGAGAAGGGGGGGAGGAGGGAATGTGAACGGGATCCAAGGACAAATCTAACTGTTGGCAGGCTCTCTTAACAGAATATCAGCACTGGAGCACCTTTTGGCAGAGCACACAGAAAGAGGGAAGGAGGGAGGGGAGGGGAGGGCTGGGAGGTGGAGGGTAAAGGAAAGAGGTAGCACGGAGAAGAGGGGAGAGAACAGAGGTTGGGGGGGGAGTGAGGTGAGGGGAAGGAGGAAGACAGTTGGGGAGTAGGGGAGGTGTTTTTGCTGACAGCCATTTTGTGGCTTCTGCTGCAGTTAAAATGGTTTAACATTCATCTGCTTCTGCGGGGTAGTTAGGTGAGGATGGTTTTAGTGCTACCTGGCATATGGCTCATCCAGAGGATGTGTGCGTGCGGGGCTGCGCCAAGTGGCTTCAAGGCCATCATTTTCAATTATGGCTGTCCCACACATGGTATTTTATGATTGTCCTTTTAGCTGCCCTGTAGCCGAACACATGCTTGTGTCCTCCGCGCCAGAGAAACGGTTTTATTTCGTATTTCACGTCCAAATAGAAATTCAGAAAAACAAACAGAACATGCCCCTCGATGGCTCACTTCACCTTGCTCTCCTCTGAGGCAGAGGACTAATGGCCATCCGGGTTGAAAGCTCATGCTTGTGCCCACCGGACTTGTGAGAACTAGAAGGTTGGACTGATTCCTTTTTGATTTGTCTCCAACGAAACCTCAGATCCGAGAAACGTCGGTTTATACGACTGCCCTTCACCAAAGCGCCGAATAAAAGAGCAAAAAGAGATAAGTGAAAAATGAAAATGGCAGCCAGACAATGTTCATCATCTCACTACGACACTCATCTACAGCCAGGGATGATTCTACTACACACTCACATCAAAAACAAGGAGGGAAAAAAAAAAAAATAAGAAGAGAGAATCTTCACCTTGTGCAATCACACGGCTGTTTGGTGCGCTTGTGGATGTGTGAATGTGCGAGCGTGCATCTGTGTGTATGAGCTATTTGTGAGTCCACCTCAGGCACTGGGCTGCTGGGTATGCAGCCTTAAAAGGTTGTGTTTCTGCTGCCATCTCTCCCTCTCCTCTCTCTTGTGTTTCTCACTGGCGCTCAGACTCTTTCCACCTCTGTTTTGTCTGCGCGTCTGCATCATTCGCCATCACTGTTCTTGTCCATCTGTATTCCATTATCGATGCTTTATCATAATTGTCGGTAAAAGTACAAGGCAAAGCGTTGGACGAGTGTCTCATTCGCAGCCTTTCACATCCAGCACAGGGGATGACCTTATGCTATTTGAGAGGGAAGCTGGTTAGCGCTGGCAGTTTTGAGAACATAATAAAGCTATTTATGCAGCGAGTCTGGCCTCTCACAATCACCCTGCTGTCTGAGGCTAGTCGAGGTGCGTATGCGTGTGTGTATCAGTGTGTTTGTGTGTCTAAGAGAGAGAGAGTGAGAGTGGAGAGAGGAGACAGTGAGGCTCAGGCTAAGTAAGTGAGGGAGGCCCGAGGAGGGGTCAGTCTTACATAAACTCTCAGCCTGTCTGCCAGTAACAGAACTAACACCGCTTAGGGCACCGAGCGGGGAGGAAGGAGGAATAGTCATGACCCAGCTAAGTAGTTTATGCAGTAATGGCCCAGAATGAAGATTGTACTAATGCATGATGCCATTTTGCTGTCATACCGGGCGATAGTCGGAAAGAGGTACTACGCCGTAAGAGCACCATTCAAAGTGGATGGGTTCCTTTTCGAGTGTGTGTGTGTGTGTGATGTTGTGGTTGGCAGCTGTCTCTTTTTCCTGTCATTGTCCTCAGTCACATGATGGCCAGGGTGGCTTTCACACATGCCATTAGGGCGAGTCACCAAGCTGACATTAGGGACTGGGAGGCTCCTGAAGGCCCAAACAGGGTCATGTGGGCACTGCTAGATTGGACTGGGACTACGCCTGGGCTTGCTGTCTTTTTGCTTATGCCTGTAAAACTTTGAACTCTCACAAGTCATCGAACGCCCATGATGGTGGTTTTTGGAATGATTTCCTAACTTCCAGGCAGCCAGTGGTTTTAATTCATTTTAGTGGGATATGGAAATCACTCCTGAGATAGGTAATCCATCAAACTGAACATTTTCCCTCCTTTATTTATGTATCAGTGTTACTGATTGATTGCCATTTTTTAGTTTTTTTTTGCCGTTGCGTGGTTATGCAGTGAGGAGGGTCTGTTCTGAAGGCTCTTTTTAGTGGAAGATCAAATTAAAGAGGCTCTGACATCTGGATTTCAGACTTGCACTTGAAATCTTTGTTGTTGAGAAATCAAACCCAAAAGAAAATGCCTTCATGAAAAGGATAATGGGAATTTGGTGCATTCTTCCATTAAATAGTTTTAAAGTCTAAAATCAGGACTTCAGTAAAAAAAAGCATCAAGAAGGAATAATTCTCGGCGAAATACTTCTGCAGAAATGTATCACCAAAGTATGCACAAATAAAACAGGGTGAGGATTTAAACAAGTTCCATTTCATGCTGCAGTTCGCAGTGTAGAACATGAATCTGAAAGTGCTTTTGTATGCTTTGGAAAATTTTGGTAGTCTTAACAGAATAAGTATAAGCAATTTGGAGTTCATAAGCTCAAACATGCAAAACCACTGTTACAGTCCTTGAAGTTTTTTTTCTCGATACTTAACCACCATTGAGCAACCAGGACCTACATCAATAACCCTTATAAGTGGTTTCAGATTGGCAAACTTTAAAGCTAAAGAGAGGGTTTGTAGAAACAAGTCTTTTCATTTTCATTCAATCTAGGACACGGAGAAGAAAAACAAAATGACCAAGCGCTGACCTGGACCTCAGGGCTGGACACTGTTT